AAAAAACCCAAAAAAGCAGACCCACCACTGAGTACAAAAGTACTAACTGTGTTTTGGAAGAAAATATGACCCGCGTCCAGTACTAACAGCATACCGAAGTACGTCACAAATTGTAGAATCGATATTGTGTATGTTTAATAACGTACGATGAATGACAGTGGGGCGTGGGCCCAGCTAAGCCTGTCAAGTGCAGTTATAACCAAGTTCAGCTCCCACCTCACTTAGCGTTCAAGGGTGATGTAATTCTCATATATAATACTGGAAGTAGCTGACAGAACTTTAAGAGGCATTTCTCTGAAAGGCAGTTCTCTGAAATCTGTTTGTAATCTAGCTACTTTCTGTTAAACGACTGGTTCTATGGTTCGTTTAAGCTGTGTGGTTTTGTAAATGTAGCCGGTCATAGTTGGCAACGTCACCAGGTCAATTATTCATCAGTGGGTTTATTTGATAGTTGCTCTCTGGATCTTCGAAGCTTGTATATTTTGGGTGGCATCTTCATGTAGTTTGTATTAGCACTCCTACACAGTACACTGTGACTTGGGCTTCGTGGTATCGTGAAATCCGGGAGCATGATTTGATATTATGTTAATACTAGTGTAACCCGTGCCTACGGCCGGGACTTCACTATCGCAGTTGAAATGCAAAAGTATAAACCGCCTATAATATAGGCGAAAACACGCATTATATTGTCGTATGGAAGTATGAAATCTCTCTATAATCCAAACAGACCGCAATGAGTGCCCCCCCCCCCCCCCCCCCCCCCCCCCCCAAATTAAGCTTATAGTATTACATTACAGTGAACCTTGCGGCTGGTACACTGCCAAATTATACCCTAATTATAAATTATGATGAACATATATATACCAACTCGACTCTGCATATGCTGTAATCGGAGAGAGCGAGGAGGGAGAAAAAGTGAGCCATTTTATGTCATATTTGTGATACAAAACCATCAATTAAACCACTTACCTCCGGCCGATTTTTTAAATTTGCTTATTGCCTTCGTCATACTTTTTTCGAAACTGTACCGAAAAAACCAGTCCCATAACTCTTACCGTTTTCTTGATTAAGCCGCTCGCAGCTCGGAAATTTCCCGCATACACACATACACACATACACACATACACACAGATTTATTGGGATTATTAGTATAGATACTAATAAATAGTATAGATTAATAGATTAAGTAAGAAATTGATCTGCCCGTGGTTGGATGCACGTTAGAAAAGTTTTCGCTAACCTAATTTTATCTTGAATCTAGATAATATATTTATTAGTTACAACTAAATAAAAGAGATGATCTTTATAAGTGGTTATCCTAATATTGTTAAATCCAAAACAATTCAGAAAAAGGATACAGGTTAATATTTATTGAAATCGGACTATAGCATAGGAATGTGTGCCACTGCCCACTATTGAGATATTAACATCTCAGAAAGAATGTAATAAGGATATAATATATTGTCTCAAGTTTCTCCTTAGAAGCTTAGATCTGCTCTCAATTAGTGTAATTCTACTGAAAATTAACTACCAGAAATAACAATGACTCTGATACTTATTATCTTTTAATTTTATGCATAATTAATTAGTCAATCCTGGACGTGAACAATAGGATTGAATTACATCCTTCAGCTGATAGTCTTACTTCCGTGTTGCATGGAGAAGACACACCGGAGCCGTGCTGTAAGTTAAAGTATAGAACTAATTTGATCCTTACATTTCGTGAGTGTTTGCTCTTATATCTGTGCTGGTCTTGCTTGCACCACGACCACGTTTGTATATTTATTGATTATTATGAGTCACTGTCTGACCCATTCGACACTTTCCCTCATTCCTGATTCGTTTTAAGGGCCTTCAATTTGATTTAACTGATAATATTTCAGATCTTTTTGTATTTGTAATTCAAAATGATAGACCCTCTGATAAGGGCAAAGCGACAAATATTCGCTACGAATTCAATTAATATTTCGTATCAACAAGATTCACGACTTTGAGTATATGTATATGCGAAGAATCGTGACCAATGTTTATATTTAAGTAGCGTCAGTTAATTCAGTCACGTTTTGGCCTCTACTATTTTAATGTAATTATTGATCGTTTGTTTGTTTGTTTAATCAATATTTCTGAGATTTCATGGAAATCGTAAATATTGTCTAGAAGATTTTTCCGACTTGCCCACTTCTCTAACGTCAATTGCTCGTATGATTTAGCCCTTATCTCTCAACACCCAATACCTTATCAAGACATTATATTATAAGATAAGATACTTTCATTGGGACACCTAATGCGTTTTCATTTTCAATTCCAAAGATAAAGAACGCGATAAACAAAGCTATAAATGCTGCATGAAGATGCTTACATTGTTAAATTGCGATACTTAAGGATTAATATGATTGATGCTGCAAGGATTAATTATTTTAATTGATGAACGTTCTTGTACCCAGTTACTATCTAACCCATCATTTTTGGAATGTTTATTATTAGCAATGGTTATAGGGACAGTTGCCAGTTGATCCTGCCAGTCTGACTTCTTAGTTAGGTTATTGGTTGGACCAACATGACATATTGTAATTCTAGACATCTAGCATTATAACAGGTGCCTTAAATCTTATCTCAATCATTTATCACATGCCTTCTCATGCGATATCAAAACTTGCCGAGTTTTGAAAATGTTGTTATCGCATGAGAAGACATGTGGTTAATGTTTCGTCACACTTTCTTTGGAGCCAGATTTGTCCCGGAAAGCAGAATTTGATCATACGTATGGATTCTACCAGAGTATTGGAGCTAACTAGACATATCACAATTAAACTTAATCAAGTTTATTCAATTTTGTAGAGTATTTGATGTTTATGGTTTCATCAGTACATCAACATGAATAATTACGACGAACTGGAACATGTTAAATTAGGTTTTTGCGTGCTCATACATTCTGCCGTAGTAAATGCTGACTGCCGCACCCAATTTGCTTTTTATTACTACCTGGCCTATGTGATATTACAAATTATTAGAGCGAATTTCAATGGTCCATGAGTTTTCTACTTATCAGCGGTATAGGATACTGCGTCACCAGCTTCCAATCAATTACATCCTTCATATTAATCGATAGACGATATGAGGTGATTCTACTTTAGATGTATTTTGAGTCATTAAAACTGAAGATGTATAATGTATAGAATATATGTTTTAGTGTCGATTACACATCATAGTCCTTGGCCTTATAATCATATATAATCAGTATCTGCGATAAGGTAAAAGAATTTCCTGGTTCTTGTATTTGAATAGAGCAGTAGCGACATAAGTGTCTATTTATCAGTCCATCTTATCAACTGTTTTACTTTAAATACTACACCATAATTCACATCAACAATGTTATCGTCCGTCTTGCTTGTCTGTTATTTCAGAATGATTTATGGATGTAACTTGTAATCATTGACTTAGAATTTTGTTGAGTAACCTGTTTACATTCATCTTGCCATAATTTGCTTCGCTAGAAATTATCAAGTGATTAAGTCATTCGTCCCTCCATTTCTTTATATACATAATATATTTTATGGAATGTTTTTATTGCACTAACTAAACTTCAGTGTGCAATTTTAAAAAGTTTTCGCTCTTTATTGTATAGAATTAAGAATAGAGATTCGGTGGAATGACGGGCTGAGCGCCGCCCAGTAAGGTCTGAAATGACTGAAATCTGGCTAAATTAATATGCAAATGACCCATTGACCCCACCCTATACACCAAAATATCGTTATGTATCATAATCTAAAGTTTCCATGTGGCTCTTTCTGAACAACTGATTGACATCCATACCCTCTGTGAGAGCTACTGCTAACAGTGCTCCCCATCAGGGCATGTGATATCAATTCTGCTTTCCTGCCAAATGTGGCTCGAAAGTGTGCTGTCAGCTCAGTTTTGGTATTGGAGCTTTTAGGTTTGTGAGTGTTTGAACTGTAAACCTTGAAGGTTCCTCACAGAAAGGATCACTAAATAAAGCTGCTTGTCCTAACAAATGATCCATGTACAATTATTAACGATTGTTCGTTCCCAGAGATGAGTCGTCCATTGTCCAATGAAACTTTTACATTAACTATGCAATTAGCTGCAATTAATTGGCCTGTTTGCTGCAACTGTTAAAACTCTTTTTCAAACCACCACGTGTAGCTCATAGGCATTCCCCGCAACATTCCCACCTCACAACTTCACAAAGTCCGAACCAAGACAGTTGCGGTAGCTTAAAGTCTCCTTCATTAGTTACATTGATTACGTTGTTACAATGTTTTATGTAGCCGGCAACATTGAGCTATGTTACAGTTTAGTTGTTGAACGCTGTTCTTTTGTTGTTGACCATGTGTTGCCGAGAGACTGTTTCCATGTTGCTTGGAGACGGCGTTTTGTTTCCTTGGTTACACCTTCTGTTTCCCGGGTAACACCTTCTGTGTGCAGGGTTACACTGGGTGTTCAAGTATGTGTTTCTTGTCTTTTTCAGTTGGTGTATGGATGAATTATGTAGAATCAGGGTGAGACCTCACTCGCTAATCGCTATGTTGTATTTTCGTTAACTAAATTATAAGCTATGATATGACGTCTTGGTTTGACCGGGAATCTGTTTTAGTCTTGTGTAATTTGTAAACCCGTTTTAAATGAATCATGTGCGACTTTCATAAATTGACACTGGCCAAGAGTCTCCATGGTCTTGTATTGAGATGAAATGTGCTGAATCAGGATGTGATCTTACACGCGATAGTATCATGGTTTACTTAAACCCTTTGCCGCATGTCTTGTAACTTGTTTTGTTCTGTATTTGTTTTTTGAGATCTGATCACCAAACCCACTGGCTACAATCTGGGTTTATAATCTGGTTTATAATCGACTGTGGGGGGGGGGGCAGGGGGGGTCGTAACTACATTATAGTATTATCAGAGATCAACCAAACTTTACTTAATTCCACAAAACTCTTACAAAACCTCAAATTCCTCTAACTGTTTTCTAACAGGTAGCCCACATTATGTTCGGTGGTAGTCATGAGTTTTCCCTATCATATAAATGACGTGGTACTAGCGCGGGTCCCCAATGGCAAGATATACTACACCAAGATCAGATCCATATCTCTGGCGAGGAAGGAGTGTGTAGCAGAGTTTGATGATGGAAGTGTGGCTGCTGTTGACTGGATCAACATATTTGATGGTAGGTTTTAGTTACATACCTGGACACATCCCTAGTTTAAATATGTTAAATTTATGGAATTTTAAGCAATTATTACACTACAGACAAGTCAACAAATAGTATTAGTAGTGTACATGTAGTGTATAATGAGAACGTTCTCACTATACATATTTAGACCTATTACCTTCTGACGTAGCTCCCTCAGTTGCCGCGGAGACGGACGTGATTGTGTGTGTGGTTTGTAAACTCGGAGAGTCAGAACCTCCTAATGAGATAATACTGTGTGACACTTGCAATGTTGGTAAGTTCACCTAATTAGTTAATTAAATTATTAGTTAATTAGATCAAACTGATCAGATAATACATTGATCATTTCAGTTTTCAATGAAAACTGAGACTAGAAACTGAGACACTGATGAACATTTTATCGGTGTCCCGGTTTTGATATTGATGGTTCGCGCTTTAATTTACCAAGGATTGATTGCGGAGGATTGACAGGACATTATAATATAATAATATTATTTGATTGTTAGCCAGATTATTTGGTAGATAAAGCCGTATTTGAAAACTCTGCCTCGTTACATTAAGTGTAATTAGATCTACGTTACACGTTCTTAGCAACTAACTTGCTTTTAAAGAATTCCACATTATTTGTTATCTTATTGTGATAGCCTTGAACCGGAAATTCCATTATATCGTTTTCCGGCTGAAAAATGTTGAATTGTTAATGTATTCCATGGTTAGTGACGTCATATCATAATATGATATACCCCAATAAATCAAGTGATTATGGAAAATTTCGCATTTGAAAGAGTCCAGATAGGAATATTCCAGAAGATTCTAGAACGTTTCTAACCAGGAAGCATGTCTTGAGACCTCAGTTATGAAATAAACACTTTCGGAAATATAATATAAAGTATAAACTATATAATACATTTATTCAATCGGTAGATTTGGGTAAAATGCACCAATATTAACAACTGGCGCTCAAACTGTGATTTTATAAATCCTCTGGACTCCATTTTAAAGTTTCAAGGCCAACTATTGCAAAAGACGGCTGCACATTAACAGTGTCATAACCTAAAAGGTCTTAAATTTTAGGTTATGAGTGGCTACTCTTTGGTGCTACTATTTTAGTACAATATGTACATTAAATATACATTACACAATACATTAAATATTGCAGAATATATCATAGTGCAGATATTATTATAGTCGCACGATGAACATTGATGATGCAGATGGTGCTTCGTTTTCAGTATTTATAACTCTCCATCTAGCAGACGTTGTGAAATATGTGGACTAAATTTCCCGTTATGCAACGTTATTCTAATGTCTTAATGTTAACCAATCTTCGACAGACGACTAGTTAATAAGGTTACTCATGCCCAAGTAGGCAAAATGTGATTTCTTCATGATGAATTTAAATCTATCCGCTGGCTTCACCCTTGCATTTTCCATATTAAACGGCCTAGAAACACTGAAAACACACACCTAGTATCGAGTGTTATATCTTCTTATGAGGTCAAGGTATAACCTTGCCTACTATCTAACCTTGCCTGCTGTGTACCACTGTGTGTTAATCTGTGTACTTGGTTTCTAGTGCACCATCTCCTCACTGTTTTTCATGAGGCTATTGTTTTAGTGATATCAACAGTTGTGGACACACTCGGGGATATCAAACAGCCCGAGATGAAGTCCTCGCTAGATCGTTATGTACATTGTGTTGTACAAGTATTGTAAGTATGTATATGGTAGTGTACATTGTGTAGTATTGTATAAGTATTGTATGTTCCAGAATCCTCTCATTCCAATCAGGATAAATTAGTTTATGGGGATATCGTGGTTACAGGGTATTATGGCGCAGCAACTCTGTCAATCCATAAATTTCCGCACAGATCGGTCAACACATTGCGAACTTAAATAGTTGAATTAAGTTTATGCTTTAAGAAGAACATGTGTAAACGATTGTTTATCTGATCTCTTTATAAATAAGAAGTTATTACACTTGATCTGTAATCTTGTAAAACTATGTTTCTAAGTTCAGCAGAATGTAACTGCAAAATAAGTTAGCAGCCGTAGTCCTAATATAAATCACGTATACTAATCAAGAGCGTTAAGATTTAAACTTCATGTATTTTACTCTTACAGACTGTAAATTTTATAATACTCAGTTTACGTTGCAGACAATTGCTACGAATCTCTTCTAATGTCTACATATACAGAACATTTTTAGATTACGTCTTGTAACAATGTGAACAGTCGGAAAGGTTTATATAGTGCAGTGTGATGACTCAATTAATGATCATGTCGCGCAATCGGCAATACTCACGCACTTCTCACGCAATACTCACGCACTTCTCAGTTCTCACGTATATATTACTATTGTATATCATTATATAAGTACTACAAACTACACTCTTCCACCTCTCTCACAATAATATAAATAATAATAGCAGCTCAGGATTAAGCAGGCTTGAAATGGGCTCCAAAACTCTATCACATGGACGTACGTGTACGTGTATCGTGTACGTGTTAACGTGTACATGTAAGTGGCGATGGAAATGTCTCTCCTCTACCATCATTAAAAATGATATCCTCTGGGTCCTTTCTGCTTCCGTATATCCTAATATGATTACCATTTTCCATTTCTGCATAATCTGCCCGACCTAGAACGTACCATGAACAAACCGTATCCAGTCACCCAATATAATATTACAATATTCGTTTTGTTGGAAGATATTTTTGGTTCATCATGACTACACACTGGCGTTCATTTTCCTCGTCAATAAAAATGATGCCTTTGATCCTGTAATGAACTAATTCGACAATTGTGTTTCCACCTCTGTAGCTAATGATTAATTACAGTTTTTATTAATATTCGTAAGAAAAGAAGGACGAATGATCTTTGATCAGTTATTATAAATCAGGTTATCTTGAAGAATAATGATATTTAAAGTATTTAACTAAATCATTTTACTTACTCCTTACTGAAGTAGTCATCAGATATATATATATATATACTATGATTGGCTACTGGGACACGTCATACACACGGTTGGATTGTTAATTCGGTTGAAGTACCTTTACATCCATTATCACCATAATCTGAACATGATTTATTAAAAATTTGCAATATCGAAAACGAAAAATCTGAATAAACTGAAAATTTTGAAACTGAAAGCTGCACTCAATTGATGGAAGGCAAAAATTTACTCATAACTAGCAAGGTAATAGCTACAAATGAACAGCAGATTTATAAATCTGCTGATATAAATATATATATATATATTTGAGACATTCAGTGAAACAGTAAAACACGAAATTCACATTAAGCTATCGATTGTGTAATCTTTACATGTCTCATTCTGAAAGCAAGTTTATTAAAATAACTGTTATAATATATATATAATTCGAACAATTGAAACAAATCAAATTGGCGGGCAAACGATCCGTTTCATGATATGTATAAAAACAATACCAATCATCAGTGCCAAATAGAATAATGAATTGTAGCGCTATGACATGTTGCTCCTTTATAAAATAATGCTCCTGCTTAACTGCAGTCGAGCACTCTCTTTGGGAAACCAAACAACAACTATTTATTATATATATATATATATATATGTCACCAGGGTAAGCCCAAATTTATAAAACCCAAACCCCTGGCCCTGATACACAAGCCTAGAAACAGCTTAGAGGAAATATTTATAGAAGCAGATTATTTCAATTTCCGGATAATGAAAACTCTTTCTCTGACTTTTTGTCTTAGCTTGAATAAACATTTTTATTTGTCCCTTGTGTAATAAAGCCCAGCACTGAGGCTAAATTAATGTTATTTACAATTTGGCTCTTTAACCTTACGACTTATGTATCATTAATTATTTAACACATCAACAATTCAACAATTGAACTGCCTAAATCTGCACTGTAAACACAGTATCCTCCCGTCCCCACCCACCACCCACCCACCACATTGGTCTAACCCATCAATATTGTACTTACTCATCACCAAACTCATCATGTGGCCCCGACGTAAAACACCGTATCGTAATTTATAATACTCTGAGTTAAGAGTTACTTCTTGTTGGTTTATAACCTCGAAATCGTGGCAGTGCATTGCTTTCATTCCTGCTGCCCTGAGTATCACAAAGAAGTCTGTGTGTTCCAGAATCTTCAGCTCGTCCGACCAACCGCCCATTTTTATAATGTCGTTTGTTTTTGCAAGGAATATGTTGCTTACAATATCGCACTGAGAGCAACCTGGGAATTGTGGAATTTCCCTGTCACATTTCCCACTAATAACTCGCAACATTTTATAGTTCTGTCTGTAAAGAAACTGAAGGTTCCCAGCGAACGGGTCCTTACCAGCACACTTACCTCCCACTAATGTGGCATCTGTTCTCTCTAGTATACCAAGCATCTTCTCAATACTTGTATTGCCAGATATGATGTGATCGTCATCTAGCAACAGAAAATACGGAGTGTTTACTTGCTTCAACGCCAAGTTTCTCCCTAAAGATATCCCAAGATCCCTATCCGAACCTATGATATATCGTAGAAGTGGAAATGTGGCAATATCTGCCCACACCTCTTCAGAATAGTCCCCCGGTGGTGGTCCATCATCATAAGCTATGATCCTCAGATCACTTCCCCTGACGTCCCGGATGGACTGAGCAAGTCGGGTTACTAACTGTGGCCTTCGTGCAGTTTTAGTGATGACTGTCACGCAAGTAAACACGTCCCTACACTTGGTATTTGAAGAATTTGTCATGATTATAGGGTCTGCAGGTTTGTTGAGTCGGCAAGCGGGAAAATCACAATCCTCCGTAAGCCCACCTCTGCCGTTTATCAGTGGTTTCATTTTCTCCTTGAAAACATTTTCGGTTTCAATTTTGATCCTAGAGGCTTTCACTGAGCAAGGTGTCAGAGATATAACATTCCCCAAGCAGCTATTAATACTTGCTTCAAGTCTCCCTGCATTCTCAACTGTTGGGGACATGCAGAGCTGTTTGTTTTGTTCATGTTTTGCTCTTAAATAAACACCCTTCATAACTTCAAACTCCACTCCATCTGAACAATCTCCTAGTTTCAGAATGTTGGAATAACCTTCCCCCACAACAACACACTTGGTGGTATTATCGTACTGTAACATCCCGCTATCCGTTAAAGTGAACTGTTGGTCGACTGAAGGGTCACAGTGGGAAAGAACCAGAATATTGTTCTTATCTGGTGCTGCACATCGGCCACTTACCCAGAGTTGTATTCGGCTGTTCTGAAACCTTTCAGTCACCCTTCCTC